TTAAATATCTCCTCAATAGGTCAACATAACATTAATATATTATACAGTATTTCCTTTTATAACAATATGTATGTAATGACTGAGTAAATATCATTGTAAAAAGTTCGAATTTCTTGTACTTCTTTCTTCCGCTTCTTTTTAATTACACGATAACTCAACAACTAAAAACAATGGTGTCAACCAATTTCACTGAGGTGACAGTTTCTAACGGAGTGTCCGCTTTTATATGTATTATTAATTAGTAGTAATTAAACAAAAATAATAATTTTAGTGTAAAGGATGTTATAATCACCCCTTGAAATTAGCTTTTTTACAGACATTTAGTGTTCCTTTAAAAAGCTTAAGTACAGGGCAAAAAAGGAATTACCAGCCAGTAATAGATAAACAATAAATATTACAGTTGGAACTTCATTGCGTTTAGAACTGGTTGTAAATACAACCTTCCTATGTCTATTGAAACACTGAATTAAACAACAAGCAAGAATTAACATTTTGCAAAATATATATATATATAACTATTCAGTCCCAACTGAGTTTAATTTATACTATTTTTGTTTGTTAACATTCTACTACACTATTTGCCTGTGTTATTATGGAAAGCTGATGTAAGTGCCATCACTACTATTTTGCTTGCATTGTTTTAAAAGATTGATATGAACCATTCCTACATTTACTACCTTTTTCGAAAAGTTTTTTCTTTACGTGTATGTATACAGAGGTGAAATTCTACCGGTACTAACTGGTACTGAGTACCAGAACTTATTTTTAGTACTGGGATTAATATGAGCTGCTTTGTCGTTTTTCATGTTTACACGTAGGTTTTTTTTCTTTTTCAAAAACAGATCCACTTCACCCAGCTGAGTACCTCTACTGAGAATGTTTTGAGAATTTCACCCCTGTATATATATAGAGAGAGATTTTTAGCCTTTCTGATGGATGTAAATTGGGCTATCTGCAGTGTCCACCGTGGGCAATCGAACCCTGGATCTTAGCGTTGTAAATTCTTAAGCTTACCGCTGTCCCACCGGGGACTTTAAAGTAAGAAATTTAAGTCTGCATAATATATTTTATGGCCAATCTAACATTTACTATGCTGCTATCCAGTGGCGTACCTAAGGTATGGCACGTACCCTGGACGCCACTGAGCAGCTTTTATTAAAGTCAGACAAGCCATCCTCGAATATTGAAAAAAGAATTTTCTTCAGATGTATGATCTGTCTTTGATTATCATGGGTGAGAAGCACTAGGATGAAGAGATTGTTAAACCCCTTATATAAATTATTAGGTAAAAATACAGTGCTGGGAGCAACATGACCACATATCTCATAGTACCACTGCTCAGTTCCAACTGGCAGTAAGACCATTCTCCTGCACAAACTAGAGAGGTAGTCCAGAATTTTGTGCAAAATCTATGAAATTTAATGTTCTTATTAAAAGTGCCATTTTCTTATTTCAGAGCATTGTGTAAGAGACGAAAGTTGGGGGCAGAGGAAGTCAAGAAGTCGAGCAAGATGTTCATGCAAGTTTGTTAGAATCCGAAGGTGGATCAAGTACGAATGCGTCACAAGCCGAGAAGAAAGTCAAGACAGATAAATCCGAGTATAACGAGATTAAGAGTGAGGCTGCCAGAGAGAACGTGGACATGACAGGAGGGGAAGACGATGGTGTTGAGTTTATTGACGAGATTTTATCTGACGATATTGAACCTGACGACACTAAAGCTAGTGAACTGGATGGTGTCGAAGAGCCTCGAACTGTCATACCAGAAGTGATTGAACAACATGACATTGGACTTCTGAAGTTCGACAAGGATACTGGAAAAAACAATTCTGCCTGACACGTTGAGAACAGAAATAATAAAGCTGGGTTCGAAGTATTTCCAGAACAGTAGGAGCCTTTCCTACCAACAAATAACCGCTCAATGAACAAAACTTGGTTCAAGAGGAAATTGGGAAATGGTCATGGTGAGGAAGTGACTCGCTCATGGCTGGTCTGTTCCACTTCTAAAAAGTCTGCATTTTGTATCTGTTGTATTCTCTATTCCCGGTCAGATCATCAATCTTCATTGGAGCAGGAAAGTGGATTCAACCAGTGGAAAGCACGTGAAAGGATAAGTGTTCATGAAAATGTTAAGAATCATCGGGAGTGCTTCATACAGTGGAAAGAAGTGGAAATAAATTTAGCTGAAAATAAAGGAGTTATTGACGCGGAACTTCAGTCACAGATTGAGAAGGAAAAGCAGAAGTGGCGTGATATCTTGCCGAGAATCCTTCACTGCATAAAATTCCTTGCGATTCAGAACCTGGCTTTGCGAGGACACGGGGAGTCATTTGAGCTAGGCGATGACTCCAATATGGGAAATTTCCTTGGCTTACTGAAACTACTGCCCATCTTTGACCCTGTCATGAAAGAACACCTCACTCGTGTGGAAAGTCATCCTGGATCCACGTCTTACCTTTCACCGGGTGTCCAGAACGAATTCATCCACATGATGGCATCCACTGTTTGCCAGAGTTTACTGAGAAGCATTTCGTAAAGCCCAGTACTATGGTCTCACGTTTGAGTCGACTCCTGATCAGGCACACCGTGAGCAGATGTCAGAAGTAGTGAGGTACATGGAAGCTGATTTGGAGAGGAAAACAGTCAGTGTTGGAGAGTCCTTCCTTGGTTTTATCCAGATAAGACA